GGAGTGTGCACATAAGCTAGAAATAAAAACATGAGCTCATTTTGCATTCTATGAAATTACAGTCATTTTTGGATGGTGAGGATCCATCTTCTGATCCATGTGATGTGCTCAGATTATCACAATGTACATAAACACATTTTAGTAAGAGGCTTTAGGTTGTAACAGTGTGAACAGATGTGAAGAATGATCAACAGTAGGAACAAACACATACAATTAGCATTATGAGCCAACAGGCTCATCATTTTCTTGTGCTTTTGTTATGATATCTCTGTGATCCAGAGAAACTGTGTGGTACATTCTCATTTTTCTCCTTGAAGGTGATGAAACATGATTATGGCATGTGTATCTTGCTTTTAGCCATTGCTGGTGAGTATCAAACTCTCCAGCAATTCCCAGTGCACCACAACCTCATGGGTGTAATATCTGTGTTGCCTATCTCTGGATGCCCTCTACCCTGCATTGGTGAACTTCAAATAACCTGGCCTGGAATACAGAAAACACTGACACTCTTCAAGATGAATTGGATGGCTTAGATTGGTATGCCTTGCTGCTTTTTACTTTTTGTGAAACTACTGGTGTTAACCTTATTCTAGATATCAGATTGCAATGTGCGTGCATGACAAAGCAGACAGCCAAAATGCTGGCAAAGCAGTGTCCAGTTCTTCAAGCTACATAACAGACATTTCATCAATTAGTTTGTCACATTAATTTCTGCAGTATTATGGGTTGCATGAAATTTGGCCTTGCTGAGCTATACATTCATATAAGAAGAATTCACTGTAAGCTCAGTTAGCTCCATTTGGTCTCAAGAATCTGGCATAACAACCTAAATTTTAATGGAGAATGATAAGAACCGTCACACTGTTCATGGTAAACCCAGACTGTATTGACAGATGTGAGGCTAATGTTGTCTTGAGAACTTTTGGAAGAGACCTTCCTTCCAGACCTTCCTACACCGTCCATGCCTAATGATGTGCAGTGAGAATCAGAGCTCAATCTTTTAAGACCATATTTTCATATTTTCCAGCTCACCTCAAGGCCAGACTTCCTTTTCCTGCACATAGGCACCTCAGGTTAAATTGCTAAGCACAATGTGTCAAGATCACTATCTGTACAATTGCTTTAACAAAATATGGATTGCAATGTTCAGTGCTACTTTTGCAAAGCTTTGCTTTGCATGTCTTTGTACCAGGCCAAGTAAACAGGATGAGCATGGCTAGCTGAATGATGTTGATGTTTATGAACTTGGCAACCATGCAATGAACCCAATGTTGGCATGTCTTGGTGGTTGAATTTTTTAACTAGCATATACCATCTGACAAATATTTCAACATGCAATTTTCAGACATCTTGTTTATAAGAAGTTACAGGTAGAAGGTAAATTGGCACAAGTTTTTCAGTTGTCCTCAGTCAGTTCATAGGAAATAATATATGTTCATCTCTAATAATCATGATACACCTTTCTTGCATGAGGTGGAATAGGCAAGGTAAAATGGATGGGGGCATTGTCATGTATATGGTACAATGTTCACAATGAGTGAGCAGCATAGCTTGGAATCTTCACGACCCAAGCCACCAGTATAGCATGCAAGACCGGCTTAAAGAAAGGGGCCGTTGCCGCTTCGTCTCTTTGGGTCAAGCTGTCTCGAGGTTTCTGATTGATTTGCGGAGCGTCAAACGCTATGCTTTGCTTTCTCGTTCTTGTGCGCCGGCTCCCGAGGTCTGAGATGTATCCTCACATGTCTCCCGAAGCGGGCGACTGCACGGTTTGTGGTCGATCGCGCACAACGAGCACCATGCGTCTACCCGTGCTGACTTACGTCCTGTTCTCCATCAGACGGCTTTTTCCCTGTCACATGGACCGAGTTGTCGAGGACTGGGCGCCGTTGCAACCTTTGTTACGCGGCGTTGTCACGACTAGGAGATTGTGCGTTTCCCGAGCTGGTCGAATAGAAAATCTTGTTGCTCAAAGTTTGCTGAAGCAAAATTGAAAAATATCAAATGCTGCTCATTTTACAATTGCAGCAGGGTGTTGACGCCTGATCGGCGCTTACGACTTTGGTAGAAATGTGCTTCATGAAATACAGCACGAACTCTTACTAAATTTATTTCGTGTTGCCGAACGAACACGGAAATATGCGATTACTGCTTGCTGAAATATTAGCGGGTTATGGACGTACCGGCCGTACCGGGTATGGCCGAGCCGTTCAGGTAGAACAATGTTACGCTTTTAAGTGAAACCTGCTTGAGCTGCCGACCCGCCTGTCATTTTCGGTACCTTCCGAAGTACTGAGGCATATATTTTTTACCGTGTCGTTTTTATGGGTGTTTGTTGCGGGTTTTTCGTGTTAGTGGGATGACTGCATACGTTGACATGTTGGATGCGTTATTGCCAGACATCTTTTCGGTTTGATGGGAAAGGTGAATCATGTGATTGTCATGCTCTTTCAATCGACAAACTAATTGCTGTGGCAATCTGTTCCAGGCGAAGTCCAAAAAGTTAACGAGGAAGACAAATGTCGTTGAAAAGACGTCGTCCTTGGTTACAGCATCAAAATAACATGACCTTGCGCAGTGTTTTGAGCAGGTCATGTGATTAACATTTGACACCTATCAACTAGTGCCAGTGAAGTACCACCGATATCAAAGGCCCGCTCGATCTTCCACGATACATTTTTGCTCAACTTGATTTGACTCCATGGTGTTGACTTCCATGAACACCGATTTCCCTGATCAAACCACAGCAAGGTGGCAGCGTTGCTGAAACTGCATGGTGTATAACGGTACAGCCCGTCTGGAACCCAGAGTGTGAAGGCTCAACTGAAACCCAAGGCGTGAAAGCTCATCACGCACCCGACGTGTGGAAGAGGGCTTTAATGGAGAGAATGGCCGGCAACGACGAACTGCCAGGAGTATTGGTGGTTATTTTTATTGCTGGAGGAGTGCTGGTATTCTTGATCGTGTTCATCTTTGGGAAGAGGCAAATCCAGAGATTTGCTCTAAAAAACCAGAAAGGTCCTCATGTAGCTGTTGGAATCGATGCCAGAAAGGTGAGGCCGCCTGCTTTTTTCCCACTTCACTGTTCGGTTCTTGACTGTCATGCTATCGTTTATCTGCCATGTCCACAGTCCACACTATTTATCTGCCAAGGGACAGACTGTAACAACGAAGCCCTTTGTCGCCAAGTCTCCTGTGGTATCGTCCAGCGCCTTGACTGTGGTACAAACTGCACCCACGAGCCGACGCCTCCCCGCGACTGGCGGCCTCGTGCTGAGCGCGTGCCGCCGACCGCAGGCGCTGAAGCGCGAGATCGAGCGCCGGCTGGACCGGACGGCGGAGATCGTGACGGAGCCGCTGCTGGTCAGCCCCGGCGTGAACGCCGCCAGCCCCGGCTTCTACCGCATGTGTGCGGCAGACGACGCCAGGCGACTGGGTAAGGCCGGCGTTGACTAGGCGGCGGCGGGTTCACCGAGGTGGAGCCGGGGCGGGGTGTCGCGAGAGACTCTGAGCGGGCCCACAGAGGTGGAGCCGGGGCGGGGTGTCGCGAGAGACTCTGAGCGGGCCCACAGAGGTGGAGCCGGGGCGTGGCGTCCGCGAGGGACTAGGCAGGCTCACTGAGGGGAACCCGGGGCGGGGTGTGCGAGGGACTGGGCGGGCTCACTGAGGGGAACCCGGGGCGGGGTGTGCGAGGGACTAGGCAGGCTCACTGAGGGGAACCCGGGGCGGGGTGTGCGAGGGACTGGGCGGGCTCACTGAGGGGGCCGGGGCGGGGTGACCGCGAGGGACTGGACGGGTTCACTGAGGGGGCCGGGGCGGGGTGTCCGCGAGGGATTCTGAGCGGGCTTACTGAGGGGAACCCGGGGCGGGGTGTGCGAGGGACTGGGCGGGCTCACTGAGGGGAACCCGAGGCGTGGTGTCCGCGAGGGACTAGACGAGTTCACTGAGGGGGCCGGGGCGGGTTGTCCACGAGGGACTCTGGGCGGGTTCACTGAGGGGAACCCGGGGCGGGGTGTCCGCGAGGGATTCTGAGCGGGCTCACAGAGGGGACGTGGGACGGGTCGCGGTGTCCGTGAGGGACTCTGTGTGTGTGTGGGGGGGGGGGGGAGGGGCAGGGGGGCCCGTCTTGAGGGATCTGAGATCTGCCGTCGGTGATGGACGGTGGGCGCACACTGCTTGGGTGGATTATAACTTCAGTGTGCCCACGATCAGCGGGGTCATTTCCAACGCCTAAGCTTTGAGTGCCTTGGTGTATTCCCATGCCGCGCTTCTCTATTACATGCCTGATGAGTAGCAGCGTAGACAGAGTGTCCGCGCGTCTTCAACCTGTCCTCTGTCGTCCATCACCAGAACTAGAGATTCTAGAATGCTCCGGTGAGCGGCGTTCGCCGACGGACTCGGTGCGCCGGTTTCTGATGGCGCTTCGGAACAGCCTGCTGGGTCGGGCTGGCGCGCGCACCATTCACGAGTTCTGCGACATGTACGAGCTGGCGCGCTACGACCCAGCGCCGTTCCTACAGCCGCAGTACGCCCAGATGTCGGCTCTGCACGCTCGGCTCATGGAGAGGTACGGCGGCTCGCGGCCGGCCACGCCGACACTCCCGGCGATTAGCGTTGGGCCGCCGTTGTGGGAGGGAACAAATGACACTCACGGTAATGGGACGGCACAGGATTGATGCGTGGCCACTCTGGTCATCTGCGACCGAATGCATCGCTGCCAGTTGGCTGTGACTAAGAGCGGCGGCACTGACCTAATGCGGATTGCTGATCTGATGTGCGCTGTGGCTCCCGTTCTCAACGCATCATTTGTGACCGAGCTGAATGCCCCTTGTGGAGCGTGGAAGCCTGTTATGTGCCAATGAAAAGTGTTGGCCGTGCTCCCATCTGCATCCGTCTGTGGCGTCTCCCGTAGCGTTCGTGATGGCCTTCTGTGTTGACCCCTCACTCCCCATTGCAGCTTGCACGCACAAAGTAGTCAGAGCTCACAACGCTCAACGCCACGCGTGCGGACGATCGGCGAGTCAGCCGAGGCGGCCGGCACCGGCCGGCGTCCGCACTCGCTGTCGGTGGCAGCCGGCGCGGGCTCCGAGACGCCCGTCTGATGCACGGCGGCCGGGCCCGGCCGGTGGACCATCCCGCGGGCCGGCGCCGGCTGCTCTGGGCTGGGCCGGGGCTGATGCGGACCTTCAGCCGCGACACCGGCCGCGGCGGTCTGAGGCGGCGCCGCAGGCCGGACGGCCAGCCCGGCGCCGCACCGGAGCCCCTTCGCGGAGGCGCGGGAGGCTGCCGGCCGCCCTCCGTAGACTGCGGATCGGCCGGGGATGGCTGCGCCGACGCTGCTGACGACCGGCCGGCTCGCCGCGTTTGTTTGGGCACGCTTCCCCGCTTTTGGAAACATGGGAAGATTATTTTTGCATTTGAGCCAATCTCGCTGCGAGGAGGCCACGCTCCAGAGGTTCGAGGCGCGCGTCCGCCGGGCTCCTTCCATGTGCCACGTGTTTGCTTCCGGGTGGATATGAGTCTTCGGAAGCCACATGATGAAAATTAAAGCTCAGGCAATATTCGTGCGGTGGGGATCGCGTTCTGTTTTGACAGAATGGCGCGTGAGTGCATTTTTCATCATGCTGTCGACTCCCGCACCATTTGGGATGATCCCCGACCCGACGGTGACGCTGCGATGGGATCGTTTGTCCGTGCGCTGGTTTGTTTCGTGCCCGCGTCCTCGCTAAACATTTCCGGCATGTAACGACGCGAGTTTTCGTCGTACGCATTGGAAGTTATTATTGGTGGCTTTTCGAGAAGTTCAGTAGATTGGGTACAGCCATGTTCTTACGCTCCCAGAAATATGCGACTGCAGTGCACAAACGCGCCGCTGTTCTGCTCGTTGGCCGCTGTCTGCGGGGCTGTTTGTTTTGGGGTGCAGTCGCGACGTCTGGCGCGGAGGTCCGCCGGCGGCCGGTGATTCCAGCGCGCGTTGTGCCGCGTCCCAGCGCCGGACGTCGCCCGCGTGGTGGCACCCCGGCGCGAGGAGCCGCGCCGGGTCCCTGGGCGCCAGACGGAAAGCCATGCACAGGCTGTCGCCCGGGTGGACCCAGCCTGTATTGTGATAACGCGCGCGAGACACGAGTGGCGCCGACTGACGGGAATGGGTGTGTACTATGCATGGCTGTAGTGAGAACGTGCTCAGAATCCGATCTGAGGACTTCGTCCACCCGTAGTTTAATAGCTGTTGATGTTGGTCACTGGATTGGTGGAATCGTGGCGCAGCTGATCAGAGCTGTCGCGTAGAAAGGGCCAAGCCAAAATCCGGGATCGGCGGGGCGCATCAAACTATGCGCGCTGAGATCCCAACACAGTATTATGGGGGCTACCTGGCCGGCGCTGTGATTCGGACGAGATTTGCGGGTACGTTTCGACCCAGGATGATGATGTTACAGGATGTCCTGATTGGGATCTGATCAAGCACCGTCCCGGACTCGGGTGGCAGGTGTTACGGTGTTATGACATCTCATTCGCAATATCCGTTCCGTGTATTGTGTGTTACTTGCCAAATCTGTCCGGATGGGCTACAGACTCGTGCAGGCAGCTGGACATGTCTCGCCGTGCTGTCGGTCCATGATAACCGATGGAATACACCATGCTGATTGTTAAGGTTTAATAGCCGTCTCTGAAGGGCGCAGTGGCCGGGTAGTTAGTACTTCGGACTCCCACGCGGCGGTCCGGGTTCGAATCCCGCCACGCTCTGACCCCTGAGCACCAAATGGACAATGCAGTCGCTGGCGTTCCATAAAAAGGACGTGATGACGTTCTCGCAAAAATAGTGAATAACCTAGCCGTTACCGCTAAGTCTGCCAAGTAGAAAGGTCCAAACTAGAATCCGGGATCCGCCCTGTGCATCCAGCTGCGCACCAGTGGCGATGGCGGTAAAATCCCATGCTCCGGTCCAAGTGCGCTGACGTGGGGAGTGGAGAGCTTGCTCAGCGAGCCTGAATACGCCGCCCAAAGCTCGGCCATCCGGGACGCGCCGGATTTCTCCTGCACTCAATCCGATGGGGACTTGGAAGTGCACTCAGAGCTCGGTGACTTCGTGCGCTCCGGTACATCTGTTCTGCCTCGACATCTACCCCGCAGGGTTACGGGCTGAGCGCGGGCAATGAGGACGGCGCGGATTGCGGGGTTGGACCTGCGCTGTCATCGGATGGGCCCGCAGCGGTCAGGGATTTGACCCTGGCTTCCTTCTTATTTGGTATTTGTGTGAAACACCACGCAGGCGATCGCTACCAGGTGAGCTGCAGTTGAAAACCCACCAGTGAGCGTAAGGTAACGTGTGACGTTTAAGCTGACGTCGCTTTTATGGAGTGACATTCATGCCCTCACTCGTGGTGAGAGCGTTTCACATGTACGGTTTAGCGGGTGACCAGTGGGCCGACTTTTCTATGGTGAGACATCTGGCTTGGGAAAATTTGGGATGGGAAGCATAATTGGTCATAAATGTTTGCCAATCTGGTGGGCAGGTGTATTTGTACTGAGCTGTCATTTTGACTTGTAGTACGGCGCTCTTAATGCTCTCGCCACTTCATAAGTGACAACTTATGCCTTTACTAACCGCTCAGTTGCTAGAGCAAAATACTCGCAATCAGGAGACCCGGGTTCAAATCCCAGCAATTCCATAGCGCGGATTCGGGTTGCGACGCGAACATCGCTGAAAGCCAAACACCATCCAGACCTAAGGTTTCCATAACATCTGACGACAGCCGGAGAGTTAAATGGCCGAAACGTTGCGCACATACTAACACGAGACAAGGACATTACTCGGAATGGTTATTGCATCTTCAGTAGTCATTCTTTTTGCCAGCTTTCCACCACGGGTGAAACTACGTAAAACGCTTGGAGTAAGCCACGCACGTGGCCAAAGATCATTTCCGTGGATGAAATTTCCTCCGCAATCCTGCGAATTTTAAACAAATTCCCGCGAAATTTCCCAGTATGTTGTGTGAACTCCTTGGTTCAGAAAGAGCGATGCCTCCCTTGGCCCCCTGACTGCGTCCCTGGAGGGAGCCGAGACTGCAGTGACGATGACACCGCCGGGGACGTGACGGGGGTTGGGGGGGGGGGGAAGAGAAGTGTCTCCCACAGCTTTCAGAACGTGGGGTTCTGAACCCATAACGTCAGACTTGTTCAATACTTGGCACGTACTGTGATGGACGGAGTACTCGCACAAAGTCTCACACGGCACTAAACATACGTACTCGGCATTATTCTGGCAACACCGTAGAAACCGATCCCAAGCGACTTCTCGCGAATCCGCCCGATTGGGGACCTCCTCGCACTCCAGACAGAGCGCACGCTCGCCACTTGGGTTGATCAACGCACTTCCTTTTGTTCTCATCATGCTCGTTCCGCAGGGGTAGGTCTTTTGAACTCTTTAAGCGAGTCATGCCCCTGCATGCTGAGCTGTTCCCTCAGTGTTTTTTTTATACTTTTTATACAAGTTTATAACTGTATGCTTTCTTGTATATGAAACCAGAGCTTTGCCTACGTTTTTTAATAGGTGCCGTATTTTGGCACAAACACTGCATTTGAGATCAACATGAAAGCAAGCGCGTCTTTGCAAACGTCGTTCCTATTAGAGGATTGCATGGATCGAACAAACCATATCCAGTGGGTAGCGGACTAAGCTGGCTGATATTTTGGGAGGACTGCGGGCGTGGATACGGCATGGGTAGGACGTTCTAGAAAGGCGGGGTAGATGTGCTCGTGCTCGGCAATGTCACTGTTTTGGCGCCCTTTTATGGCAATAAGTTCCATACACATTACTTGCGCAATTCTCAGCATAAGAAGCAGGTCTGACTTTCAGCTAGCAAAATGCATACGGGTGGGTACCAATGATTAGGAGTAGTTAGCGAACGGGATTGGGCACATCCACATGAGGAGCAGGCGGATTGTTCACAGAAAATCCCACACGGGAAGTTCCTAGTGCCTATGTCTTTGATATATTCCTCACATAGCCGCAGTCTTGTTTGTGACAATAGCATATTGGTGTGTAGGTCCGTTATCGGTGGTGATGCCGTAGAGTAACCAAGGCCTGGGTAAGGGAAGGAGCACAAAGCTTCATGGAGAGCCCCCGGTGAAAAAGCGCCCCTTATAACTATATAGGGGCGCTTTTTAATAATACTGCGGTTGACCCATTCCATCTCGAGTGTCCGCATAATAATAAATTCCTATCCAGTGATGCCAGCTGGTGCGTTCAAAGAAGCGCCTGGGTGAAGGGTCATTTTAGCCCCGAAGGCAGTGTACAAAATAATTTCGAACACCGCAGCTTACCCACGCCAAACTGTGCATAGCTGTAGGCAATTGAATAGCGAATCTTTGGAAATAAAAGATGAAATATATCGTGCCGTGTAAGATCGCTGGTCCATGGCAGGTCGAGGTCAGGGCGTGGTTCTCAGCTAAGACAATTTCTAACAAATCATTCCGTCTGATAAAATGGTGTGTTAGGCGAAGCCTTACGCCTCTGAGATAGTTTGGTAGGCAACAACACAACTAAATTTAGGACTACAACACCTTCCATTGCCCTATGGTCACGTATGAAGGCCAGACCGAGGTCAAAACTAGCCTGTAGTTTGCATCTAGGTGACCAAAATAATTGGTTTTAATCTTTAATCCAAACTAATTGAACCTGAAATTTATGATCTAGGACCATACAATTTTGGACGCATTGAGCTCACAAACAGACCGACCCGTTTTCGAGTGTGGTGTCTCCAGATCTCTTATTTTCTGGGATCTCGGGGCGAAAATGGATTCCCCACCCGAGCGAAAGATATCCAACCGGCCACTTGGGCACCCGTTAATGGGTGTGTTCCACATCTGTGTCGGGTTTCGAACTGAAAGAGCCATCTTGGGGACAGTTCGGTGCAGTTCATATCCATGCCCTTTTTAAGACCTAAGCCACCTTAGCTATACGCCCGCGAAGATGTGCAGGCTTTCAGAGAGACTATTTCAAGATCACCCAGGTATCCATCACGTCATAATAACGCCATTCAAATGCGGACATTCCATTGTGCATGCGGCAGCCAAGGCCAAGACAGATATGATTATCGTG